AGGAGTTCATAGTTTTGCATTTTACATTAAGGTCTATGATCTATTTTCAGTTGATTTTTGTGAAAGGTGCAAGATCTGTGTCTAGATTTGTTGTTGTTTTTTAATTTTGCACATGGACGTATAGTTGTTCAGCACCATTTGTTGATTATCCTTTCTCCATTGAATTGTCAAAGATAAGATGAACGGTGGTGATGATTTTCACAACAATTTATTTAATACCACTGAATTGTATATGGTTAAGATATTAATTGCTATATGTATATATGTTATGTGTATTTTTCCACAATAAATAATAAAAAATAAAACAAATTAACTAAAGATAAATTTGACTGTATTTATGTGGAAAGCTTTCTCTGCTGTTCCATTACTTTATTTATTCTTTTAACACCACCACATTGTCTTGATTATTGTTACTTTCATAATAAGTCCTTAAGTTGGGTAGTATCAGTCCTCCAATTTTGTTCTCCTTTAATATTGTGTTGGATATTCTAAGTCTTTTGCCTTCCTATATAACATTTCGAATAATTTTGTCCACATTCACAAAATAACTTATTGGTATTTTAATTGGGATTGCATTAATCTATAGATCAAGTTGAAGAATGGATATCTTGACAGTATTGAATTTTCCTAGATCAGGTACATGGAATATTTCTCCTTTCATTTAGATCTTCTTTTATTTCTTTCATTACAGTGTTGTAGTTTTTCTCATACTTTTTAGATTTATACCTAAATATTTTACTATTTTTGGTGTTAATGTAAATGGCATTGTGTTTTATTTCAAATTTCAGTTATTCATTGCTGGTGTATAGAAAACAATTCACTTTTGTATGCTAATATGTTATCCTCCAGTATTATTATAATTGCTTATTAGTTACAGAAATGTCTTCATTGACTCATTGAAATCTTTTTTTTTTTTTGATAGAGAGAGAGAGAGAGAAATGAGAGCAAAACATTGATCAGCTACCTCCTGCACTCTCCACTCCAGCCCCACCAAGGATTGAACCCAAAACCTCAGCATGTGCCCTGATTGGGAATCAAACCAGCAACCTTTTGGTGCATGGGACAATGCCCAACCAACTGAGCCACACAAGCCAGGATTCAGTGGAATTTTTATAATAGACAATCATGTTATCAGGGAACAAAGACCGGTTTTAAAAAATTGCTACATTTATATTCCTTTATTATTCTTAAGTAAGCCAGGACTTCCAGTATGATGTTGAATAGGAACAGTGAGGAGATATCTTTGCCTTGTTCCTGATCTTAGGAGAAAAGTATTTAGTTTCTCACCAATAAGTATGATGTTTACTATAAGTTTGTTGTAAATGTTATTTACCAAGTTTAAGAAGTATCCCTCTAGTCCTAGTTTGACGAAGATTTTTGTCATGAATTGGTGTTGGATTTTGTCAAATGCTCATTCTGTTGATAGTCACATGATTTTTCTTCTTTAGCCTATTTATATAATGTAATAATGCCCTGGTATACCAGTCATGTTGTATAATTCTTTTTATTCATTGTTGGACTTGATTTGCTAATATTTTGTTGAGGATTTTTACATCTGTGCTCATGAGATATATACTGGTCTATAGTTTTCCTTTCTTGTTATGTATCTGTATAGTTCTGGTATTTAGGCAATGCTAGCTTCATAGAATGTGTTAGGAAGTGTTTCCTGGAAGAGATGGTAGAGAATTAGTATTTCTCCCTTAAATATCTGGTAGAATTCACCAGTGATCACTTGGACCTGGTGCTTTCTGTTTTAAAAGGTTAATTATTGATTCAATTTTTTAAATAGATATTGATCTACTGGTATTCAGATTTTCTATTTCTCCTTGTTTTAGTTTTGTCACATTGTTTCTCTCTAAGAATTGATTTATTTTATATAGGTTATCAAATATGTGGGCATAGAGCTGTTCATAATATGTATTACTAGTGGCCCTGTGCATGAGATCATGTGTGGGGAGAAGGGGTGGCATGCACCCTCTCCAATCTGGAACTCCTTGGGGAATGTTTGACTGCTGAGGATGTCCCTCTGGGATCAGGCCTAAACTGGCAGTTGGACATCCCTCTTGCAATCCGGGACTGCTGGCTCCTAACTGCTCACCTGCGAGCCTGCCCAAATGCCCCTAACCACTCTGCTTGCCAGCCTGCTCACCCCCAACTGCCCCCCCTGCTGGCCTGATCACCCCAAATGCCCTCCCCTGCTGGCCTCATGGCCCCCAATTGCTCTCCCCGGCCAGCCTCATGGCCCCCAACTGCCCTCCCCTACCTGCCTCATGGACCCAACTTCCCTCCCTGGCCAGCCTTGTGCCCTCCCTGGCCAGAGGCCATCCATGGCCGGGTGTGGAATGCTAGCCTTGTTGCTGGGGCGATGATGCAAGCCCCCCCCCCCCCACCCATTGGATATACCATGCCTGCTACCCAGAGTCCTTCTGTGGCTGCAGTGACAAAGCAAGCATACCACCAGGCCACTCATGCTGCCCACTCTCACAGCCAACCCCCCAAGACTGGGGGACTCCAGCAGGGCTGAGAGGACTGGGCACTGCCATCTTTGTCAATTTGCATATCCCCTCTTTATTAGATAGGATTTTTAAAAATATTTTTTAATGATTTCAGAAAGGAAGGAGAGGGAGAGAGAAATAAAACATCAATGATGGGAGAGAATCATTGATCAGTTGCCTTCTGAACACACCCCACTGGGGAGCAAGCGCACACCTGGGCATGTGCCCTGACCAGGAATTTAACTGTGACCTCCTAGTTTACTAGCATAGGTCAATGCTCAACCACTGAGCCATGCTGGCCAGGCCAATATTTATTACCTTTAATGCCTATAAAATCAGTAGTAATAGCCCTTCTTTCATTTCTGATATTAGTAATTTATTTCTTTTCTCTTTTTTCTTAATCAGCCTGCCAGAAGCTATTGATTTTATTGATCTTTTCAAAGAATCAGCTTTTAGCCGAAACCCATTTGGCTCAGTGGATAGAGCATCAGCCTGAAGACTGAAGGGTCCCAGGTTCGATTCTGGTCAAGGGCATGTACCTTGGTTGTGGGCACATCTGGCTGATTGATGTTTCTCTCTCATCAATGTTTCTAACTATCCCTCTCCCTTCCTCTCTGGAAAAAATCAATAAAATATATATATTTTTAAAAGAACCAGCTTTTATTTATATTATTTTTTAATTGATTTCCTGTTTTTAATTTTATTGATTTCTATTTTATTCCCCCCCTTTCTTCTGTTACTTTTAATTTGTTTTCTTTTCCAAGTTTCTTAAAGTAGAAGCTTAGATTATTGATTTCAGATCTTTGTAGTTTTATAATATATGTATTCAATACTATAAATTGTCCTCTAAGCACTATTTCTGCTGTATCTCACAAATTTTGATAAGTTGTATTTTCACTTTATTTAGTTAAAAATATTTAAAATTTTAATCTTGATACTTTTTATTTGACCCGTTTGTTAACTTTTTTTTTTTTTTTGGTTGCCTTAGAGCAGTGTTTTTCAACCTTTTTTGGGCAAAGGCACACTTGTTTCATGAAAAAAATCACGAGGCACACCACCATTAGAAAATGTTAAAAAATTTAACTCTGTGCCTATATTGACTATATATAAAGTAATTCTCTTGAATAGGAATCAAATAAACACAAAGAAAGTATTTTATAATTACTTTATTATGAAATATTAAGTAAACAAAATAGTGAAAAATTATAAAATTCTTGTCTTGTCTGCACCTACGGCACACCAGGCAACATCAGTGTGCCGCGGAACAGCGGTTGAAAAACGCTGCCTTAGAGTTTGTAGTGAACCAATTTACAACTAATCTAAGTCCATTTAAATAACACTGTTACCCTAAATGAAATCTCTCATAAACTTAAAAGAGACAAAATCTTAGTAGAGAGAAAGGAACTTCCTTAAATACAGCCAACTTCCCCCCCTCCCCCAACACACACACACACACACACACACACACACACACACACACACACACCTATTTGTAGATGGTAGAAGAATAAAATATTAAGCTCAAATCTTCCAAAGGGTGTAACTGAGTTTCCCATAGACTTTCATGGTTGAGGAGATAGGTGTCAGCCTCAAATCTTGAGAAACAGGGAAAAATTAGAAGTGAACAAATTGGATACAGATTACTAAAACTACAATTCAGACTTGACCCAGCCCAATCTCTGATTGGATTGATGTGATCAGGCCCTCACCCTAGCTGATTAGAAGAGGAAGCTATGCACTTATGATTTGTCTACTTTCATGGGAAAAAGATAAATGTATTCATATATAAATGTATGCATTTCATGAATATATGCTTTGAGATCCTGTTTTAAAACATCTTTATTCATATTTGAGGTGTGACTATATATGTGCGTATTATGTATAATTTTTACTCAGAAGAAAATTATGTAAAATAAGAAAATTATGTTGTTTTTTAGGCTTTATGGACTGAACAATTTAGGGTAGCATCTATTTTCTCATCTAATTTAATATTATTAGGAGACAGGTAGAACTATCTTCTAATAGAAGACTAAATATTTTTTTTCTCTATTTCCATTTGTTCCAGGGCACTAAAATTTAGAAGACCAATTATATACAATTCTTAAAAAATTTAAACATGGATTCTTTTTTATTTAATAAAAGCTAGTTAGGAAACGTCATCTGATGTTAAACTCAGATTGACCAATTACAATTTTTTCTCTGAATTTACCTGAGGAGTTATTTAAACTTCAGTTTTATGAATAACAAATAATTTTACTTTTATACTTATATATTGCATAGAAAGGAAGCATAGTTTCATATTATTTTTCTAGTTATCATGTTGCAAGCTATTTTACTCTTAGATAACTATAAAAAATTAAAATATCTTCTAATTTAAAAATAATTGAGGTTTAGTCACTTGCCTTATTTTATAAAAATCAATATTCAGCAATTATTTTAACATGATAGAGTGAGAAGTAGTGAATTGGTACATACAAAATGTTAAAAAAGTAATGTTTTTTATAGGCAGAGCTTCTAGATGCTGCAGCTGGCATTCATGTACGGTTCAGATTTGGTGGTGTAAGTATGGATGAATTCTTAATTGTAGTTATATTTAAATATATTTTTATTGATTTCAGAGAGTAAGGAAGAGGGAGAGATAGAAATATCAATGATAAGAGAGAACCATTGATCAGCTGCCTCCTGCACACCCTCTACTGGGGATTGAGCCCACAACCCAGGCATGTGCCCCTGACTGTAATCAAACCCAGGACCCCTCAGTCCACAGGCCAACGCTCCATCCACTGAGCCATACAGTACAGGGCCATACTTGTAGTTTTGAAGTTCATTTATATTTAATTTTAAAGATGTAATTTTTTTAATGTAAACCATTTTGTTATTAGATTGCAACAGTCCTCTGTATTTTTCCATCTACAGGCTAAATTTCCACCTGAAATATATTATAAAATTTTTACTGAAAGACATGTTGAAGATCTGTGTGCTAATAGCCCTAGAGATTACACAAAACTTTCAGCAAAATATGCATCTCATACTAGAAGTGATAATCTTCAGAAACAGGATCGTAGAGGCTGGTATCATCGTATAGAGAACAATGGTTGGAGGCTTGTTTCTGAAAGAGTAAGAAAAAATATTAATAATTTTGAATCTTTAATATTTGTAACCAATTTATCTTTTTTTAAATTATTTTTAAATTATTTTTAAACAGTTATTCCTAGTAATTTAGTTGATAAAAATTGCTTAGTTAACTACTCTGGGGTTACTAATGATACTTCAAGATACAGGAATATATCTATATCTATTTTTTTATACATTTATTTCTACTTTTAGTAAATTTGATTGAACTCATCTTTAGGAAGCACCCTAGTACTCGGCAGTTTACCATTTTGATATCAAAGCAAATGTGAAGATGTTGACTCTATTAATATGTGGACTAGAAGTGGAAGTTCTTGAGAACAATTATAACATTTTATCTTTCAGAGCTTATAATAGCAGAGTCTGGTGGAGAATCATTTGAATTTTCATGGTGTTGGGAAACTTAACATGTATTCATATTAATTGAACAGAGTGATTTTAAATATACATAGATATATGTGATTCAGGAACTTTTCTAAAGACACCCATGTTTAATCTGTTTTGTGAAAATAATTTCTACCTATGGATATTTGTAAGGTTACATTTTATAGGTTAACATGATCTGGTTCTATAGCTCTAGATGTCTGTTTATGTTGCCTCAAATATCTTCATCAAATCTTCAGTCCTCAGATGATAGAATGTGGTATGTTTATACTAAATATGAGAAGTGAAAATGATCAAGGTATGCATTTATTCAACAAACTTGATTGCATACCAACCATGTGTCAGGCATTGTACCAAATTCTAAGGATATAATCCTATATAATAATCCTATATAATAAAGAGGTAATATGCAAATTGACCATCACTCCAACACACAAGATGGCCACCCTCATGTGGACACAAGATGGCAGCCACAAGATGGCCAACAAAGGAGGGTAGTTGTGGGCTATCAGGCCAGCAGGGGAGGGCAGTTAAGGGTGACTGGGCCGGCAGAGGAGGGAAGCTGTGGGCGACCAGGCCTGCAAGGGAAGGCAGTTGGGAACGACCAGGCCTGCAGGGAGGACAGTTGGGGGTGATCAGGCTGGTAGAAGAGGGCAGTTAGGGGCAATCGGGCCAGCAGGAGAGGGTAGTTGGGGGCAACCGGCTGACAGGGGAGGGAAGTTAGGAGCAATCAGACTGGCAAGCAGGCAAGCAGTTGGGAGCAGTTGGATTGTGAGAGGGATGTCTGTCTGCCCGTTTAGGCCTGATTCCACCAGATCGGGATCAGGCTGGGTTGAGGGATACATACTCCCGTGCAGGAATTTCATGCACTGGGCCTCTAGTAGTAAATAAGAATAATTGCTCTCCACAAGCAGTTTGCCTTTTAGTTTGGAGACATTTAGTAAATAGGATATTTCAATATAATGCAATAAAAAATGTGCTTTTATAGTGGCAAATGCAGAATGTTGTGGGGAATAGCAAACTCTCCTCCTTATTATTTAATGTATGTGTGGTGGATGAAGGGGAATGGATCAGAAGTAGGAAAATAGACTACCAGTTAGGATACAGTGTCATACAAGGGAAACCACATACTGTCATGACATAAAGGTGAGACTTCTGTGTTCTTGGAGCCTGCCTGTATTCCCTTAGAATTAGGGTCTTCAAAAGCAACTAACACTAAGAATAGGTCAGGTCTGTTCTTGTGAGAAACTAAAACACTTAGAATATGTCTATTCATTCAACAAATACTTATTAAGTACCTCAGTACACTAGTACCTGGTCAGTCTTTCTATGGCATGTGTCTCTAAAGGCTCCCTGTGCTATTCATCACTCACTAACTTAGAAATACCTTTCAGGGCTTTATCTTACCCTCTGTTTCTATCTTGGCATATTCATATTGAGCACACAGAAGTTATTGTCTACAGTCAGATAACCTCACAATCAGTATTTCAACATTTTGTATATTCTTGTTTTATTTCTCAATAGTTTTTGGTGTCTAGTGAATATGTAATTACAGAAGACATAAAGGAAACCAAATTTCATTTCTCTAAACTGAAAAGAAGACAAGATATAGAAAAAAGGAGAAAATTTAAAAAAATAGAATGGATGAGGCAAATGTAAGTTGATGAAAGACTTACTAAAAAGTACACAGTATTTTAAGATTTTAATTTTTTGCTATTATTACTGAAATAATTATGTTATGTATTTATTTTGCAATATGGTAGAAAGCTTTATTTCCATGGAATTACACCACTGAATTTCCAAAGTCCCATTTCCTTACAGAGGAAGAATAGCTGGGATTTTTTTCTTTTATAAAAAAATGTTTTCTATTGATTTTTTTAGAGAGAAGGGAGAGGAAGAGAGAGGTAGAAACATCAATAGATTACCCCCTGCACACTCCCTTTGGGGGTCAAGGCTGCAGTCTGGGCTTGTGCCCCTGCTGGAATCAAACTGGTGACCTCTGGGTGCATGGAACAATGTTCCACCAATTGAGCAACACCAGCTGGGTTGGGGTTTCAATAGAGCTAGAAGCAAAACCAATGTCTTGTCTAGAGTTTCCTTTCCATGTTGGGCCAGGTCAAATCCAGCTTCAAGCTAGCTGCAGTCCATTAATGGGGGCAAGGGGAGTATCATTTTTAAAAGAAAATTTAAGGTTACAGTTATATTTTTAAAAATACATAGAGAGCAAACATTAATAAATGCCTATTATGTGCCAGACATGGTTGAGCTTCAGCAAGTAAATAGAAAAAGATATGCTGTCTTGGACCTTAAAGAAATCACATTCTATTGGAATATCAGATATGAAAATAAGCATTTACTTTTATATATCAACTAGAGGCTCAATGCCCAAAATTTGTGCATATGAAATTCATCCCTCAGCCTGGCCTTCACCCTCTCGCAGTCCAGGAGCCCCGGGGAGCAGGCCTAAGCCATCGGTCAGACATTCTTAGTGCTGCCACAGACATCCTCACTGCATTCACCAGCTGTGAGCCCGGCTTAGGGCTTCTAGTGGAGTTGTGTTCCCCCATTGGGAGTGCACTGGCTACCAGGGGGCAGCTATTGCATTGAATATCTGCCCCCTGGTGATCAGTGCAGCATATTAGTCTTTTATTATGTAGGATTAGATGCCTGATGCACAAAATTTGTACACTCAGGGGTGGTCCCTCAGCCTGACCTGTGCCCTCTAGTAATCCAGAAGCCCTGTGATCACCTAGCAGAGGGAGGCCCCACCCACCCACCACAGCACCATCGATCTGTGGGGGCCGACCCAACTAATCGCATCACACCTGCGTTGGCTGGCCTGGCGCCAGTGCATGTCATAGTGTGATCTTCCAGATGGTCATTCAGATGGTCATTCTGCTGTTTGACGGTTTGATCGATTTGCATATTATGCTTTCATTATTATAGATAACTTTCATTAGGGTCCCTAGACCCCCACTCAACTCTTCTTTCTGCCCTAAAAGACTGACTGTGTGGATTTTAATAAAGTCATTCTGGACCTATGTAACACATGTTAAAAGCAAATGTCATAAAATTAAATGTCTCCAAGTTTACTTGACCGCATAACAAACCAAAGCCCCAGAATATAGAAAGGAATACAAAAACCTCCAGTACCAGAAATCACATAAAATTCACAATGTCTACCACATAGTAATCAATTATCAGGCATATAAAGAGACAGGAAAATAGATTCCAAGTGAAGAGATTAATCAATAGCACCAGACCCACCAAAATTATACTTTAAAAATGAATATAAAAGAAAAACTTTTCAGACAAACAAAAGCTAAATTCTCTCATCATACAGACCAGCACAAAAAAATATTAAGTTCAAGCAGAAGAAAATGATTCTATTGTAGGTAGAAATATGGATCTTTACAAAAATGAAGAATACCAAAAATGGTAACTATGTATAATAAATAAATACAAAGCACTTTTTTTTTCTTACAAATCAAATCTTCTTCAAAGATTACTAACTATTAGACTGTAATAGATAAGATGATAAATCTTGTAAAATTTTGAAAATATTTTTATTGATTTCAGAGAGGAAGGGAGAGGGAGATCGAAACATCAATAACGAGAGAGAATCATTGATTGGATGCCTCCTGCATACCCCACACTAGAGATTGAGCCCTCAACCTAGGCATGTGCTCTGACTGAGAATCGAACCTTGACCTCTTGGTTCATAGGTCAATGCTCAACCACTGAGCCACGTTGGCTGTGCTTGCTAAATATTTTTACCACAAATTTAAAAAAGATAATAAAATTTTTATTGAGAAGAAATAAGTTAATATTGATATTGTCAATGAAGTTCTACTTAAATTCTTGATTCCACAATTGTACTCCTTTTCTCTTATACTGAAAATCTTCATTTCAAAAAATTATAATTGCTTATTTTTTCTGACAATACAAGTAAATAATTAGAAAAGTGAGACTGTAATATAAACATGACACAATTGCTAAATAAAGTTCAAAAAATTTAAAGGTAATTTGCTATTTAAAACAGAAATAATGACAATGTACTATGGTATTTATTAATTTATAACAGAGCAGAAGTAAAATGAATGATAATATCACAAAGGGTGGGAGAGATGAAATGGAAAAATATCGTTATAAGTTCCTTATACTACATATGAAGTGCTATAACATTGCTTAAAGGTAGACTATGATAATTAAATATGTATACTACAAACACTAAAACAACCATAAAATCAACAATAATAATAAAGGTGGAAGACTAATAAGCTAATAATGGAGATAAAATAGAATAATTTTTTAAAAATCAGTTAATCCAAGAGAAGGCTGAAAAAAGAGGAAAGAAAATGAAGAACATACAGAAGAAATAGAAAACAAATAGCATGATATAGGCTAAAACTAACCATATCGTCATATTCTATATAATAAAAGGCTAATATAACATGCAAATTAACCAATCAGCAGAATGACTAGTCGCTATGATGTGCACTGACTACCAGGGGGGCAGACACTCAATTCAGGAGCTGCTCCTTGGTGGTAAGTGTGCCCCCCCCTGAGGGAGCACCACTCATCCAGAAGCCAGGCTCATGGCTAGCAAGCGCAGCAGCAGTGGTGGGAGCCTCTCCTGCCTTCACAGCAGCGCTAAGAATGTCTGACTGCTGCCTTAAGCCTGTTCCCCCCATGGGGAAGGCCTAAGCTGGCAGTTGGACACCCCCCCAGGGGTCCTATAATGTGAGAGGGCATAGGCTGGGTTGAGGGACCCCACCCCCAAGTGTAAGAATTTCATGCACTGGGCCTCCAGTTAAATATAAATGGTCTGTATATTGAATACAAGAATTAACTTTAAATATTAATTAGAAATAGATTCAAAGTAAAAGCATGAAAAAGGGTCATGCTAACACTAATCAAAAGAAAGCTAGAGTGATTATATTAATATTTGACAAAGTAGATTTTCAAAGCAAAGTACATTTCCAGAGATAAAAGGTGTCATATATATAAAGCTTAAGCCACTGTTACGACTGAATGACCAGAACAACCGGAATTATTGGTTGACCAGTCACTATGACATGCACTGACAACAAGGGGGCAGATGCCCAATGCAGGAGCTGCCCCTGGTGGTAAGTGTGCTCCCACAGTCAACCTCCCACAGCCAGCCAGCAGCCGTTCCTTCCACGCCTAGTCCAGCAACCGCCACCTCCTCTCCCAGCCCCGCTGGGGTCTTTTGGCCCTGGGCTGGGGTGGAGAAGCAGGAGTGGGTGGCAGTGGGCACAGCCTGTTTCCCAGGCGGCCGAGGTCCAGCTCCTTCCTCAGGGCCAGCAGCCAACCTCCAGCATTCTGTCCTTCCCCCAGCCGGCAGGCCCCTATTCACCTGTCCCTGATCAGCCCTGACCGCTGACCAGGCCTAGAGACCTCGCCCATGCATAAATTCATGCACCGGGCCTCTAATTTAAAGTAATAAAGGGACGCTCTGGCCAGTGTGGCTCCATTGGTTGGGGCATCATCCCTTATACTGAAAAGTTCCCAGTCAAGGCCCATACCTGGGTTGTTGGTTTGGTCCTAGTTGGGGATGTGTGGGAGGCACGTCTCTCTCCCTTCCTCACTAAAAAGTCAATTAAGAATAATCATAATTAGTCTAAACCGGTTTGTCTCAGTGGATAGAGCATCGGTCTGTGGCCTGAAAGGTCCCAGGTTCGATTCCGGTCAAGGGCATGTACATTGGTTGTGGGCACATCCTCAGTAGGGGGTGTGCAAGAGGCAGCTGGTCGATGTTTCTCTCTCATTGACGTTTCTAGCTCTCTATCTCTCTCCCTTCCTCTCTGTAAAAAAATCAATAAAATATATTTTTTAAAAATGCCTATAATCAATCTTTAAAAAAAATAAAAATAAAGAAAAAGAATACTCATAATTAGCCAAAACCTGTTTGGCTCAGTGGATAGAGCATCGGCCTGCAGACTGAAAGGTCCCAGGTTCAATTTCAGTCAAGGGCATGTACCTTGGTTGTGGGCACATCCCCTGTGGGGGGTGTGCAAGAGGCAGCTGGTCAATGATTCTCTCTCATCAATGTTTCTAACTCTCTATCCCTCTTTCTTCCTCTCTGTAAAAAATCAATTATATATATATGAATAATCATAATTAAAAGGAAAAAGGAGTATCACCCTGGTTTCAAAATCTAATCTTAAGTATCTGTATATATGAGAAGTTAGAACATGGAGAGACTCATAAAAAAATGCATTAACCCCCAGCTTTGCAGAAGTTTCTGATTTCTAAATGCATTTTTATCGTGGCATGAGTATCAGTTAATAAATATGGGCCAATTGGTACCATCATTTATTTATTCTTTCATTTAGTAAATGTCTACTAAGTACCTATTATATTCAGGGGAGAGAGCATAGAATTGGAAGATTGCAAGTTCCATGAGGGAATTTCACCTTTGTACAGATTGGTAGACACTCAATAACTATCTATTAAATGAATAAGCAAATGAAGAACTCTAAAAAAATGATGAAATCATACTTTCTTAAATTTTTACTCTTGCTAATCAATTTAAATCAAGAGGCATGTTTCTGCTTGTATAAAATGCCTTTAGTTTTCATAGATCATTATCCATTTAAAGTCTGACAAAGAAATAATTTTATGAGGTCAGGGGTATATTTTCTCACTGTCACATCTATTGCCATCCAGGATTGTGTAAATCTTCTTTTATTGAATATTTACTATGTTCCAGTGGTTGTTGTAAACATTTTATAGAAATTTACACTTCCAATGTAGATCTTAAAATAAAAACAATAAAAATGTTATATTCTAGTACTACCGTGTTTCCCCGAAAATAAGACATCCTCCGAAAATAAGACCTAGCGCATGGAAAAATAAGACATCCCCTGAAAATAAGATCTAGTGCATCTTTGGGAGCAAAAATTAATATAAGACACTACCTTATTTTCGGGGAAACAGGGTATTAATAAGGACAACTTACCTTTGTCTATTCACTCAGTTCATGTTTGTGGGATGCATTAATTTATGTGCTCAGACTAATATAAGAGAACAGTACTACTTCATTTTTAAAAAATATTAGGATTATTACAATGTTCTCCCCCCCCCCATTAACCCCCTCCACCCAGTTCCTGCCCCACCCCAAGCCTTTGCAATCCTACTGTCTGTGTCCATAGGTACTGCATATATGCATACAAGATCTTTGTTTAATCTATTTCTGCCCCCTTTACCCCCCTTCCCTCTGAGAATCATCAGTATGTTCCATTTCCATTTTCAGGCCTCTGATTCTATTTTATCCACCAGTTTATTCTAATCATTATATTTCTTACTCATTTAATTCGACATTTAGATTCAGTTCTTTTTTTTTTAAACCAATTATTTTTTTAAATATATTTTATTGATTTTGTACAGAGAGAAAAGGAGAGAGATAGAGACTTAGAAACATCGATGAGAGAGAGTCATCGATCAGCTGCCTCTTGCACACCTCCCACTGCGGATATGCCCGCAACCAAGGTACATGCCCTTGACCGGAATCGAACCCGGGACCCTTCAGTCCCCAAGCCGACGCTCTATCCATTGAGCCAAACCGGTCTCGGCTAGATTCAGTTCTTGATAGGTATGTATTTGTTGCCATTTTGTTGTTCATATTTGTGATCTTTTTCTTCTTCCTCTTCTTAAAGAATATCCTTCAATATTTCATATAATATTGATTTGATGGTGATAAACTTTAGCTTTTTCTTGTCTGTGAAGCTCTTTATCTGACCTTCAATTCTAAATGATAGCTTTACTGGGTAGTGTAATCTAGGTTGTAGGTCCTTGGAATTCATCACTTGAATATTTCTTGCCACTCCATTCTGGCCTGCATAGTTTCTGTTGAGAAATAAGCTGATAGTTATATGGGCAGTCCCTTGTAGGTAACTAACTGCTTTTCTCTGGCTTCTTTTAAGATTCTCTCTTTGTCTTTAGGCTTTGGCATTTTAATTATAATGTGACTTGGTGTGGTCCTCTTTGGGTTCCTCTTGTTTGAGACTCTGTGCTTGCTGGGCTTATAAGTCTATTTCTTTCAACAGGTAGGATAAATTTTCTGTCATTATTTCTTCAAATAGGTTTTCAATATCCTGCTCTTTCTCTTCTTCTGGCACCCTCATAATGTGAATGTTGGTGTGCTTGAAGTTGTCCCAGAGGCTCTTTACACTATCTTCATATTTTTTATTATTTTTTATTTTTGCTTGTCTGGGTTGGGTGTGCTTTTGCTTTCTCGCATTTCAAATCGTTGATTTGATCTCAAAGTCCACCATTCTACTGTTGAATCTCTGTATATTATTCTTTATTTCAGTCAGTGTATGCTTGATTTCTGACTGGTTCTTTTCCATTTTTTTTTTTTTGAGGTTTCTAGAAGATTCTTGAGTAACTTTATAACTGTGGTTTTGAACTCTATATCCAGTAGTTTGTTTTCTTGCATTTCTTCCATTTGTGACATGTTTGTCTTCACATTTTGGCTACTTCCCTGTGTTTTTTTCTTTTTATTGGGTAGAGCTGCTATGTCTCCTTGTGTTGATAGACTGGCCTTGTATAGTAGGTGCTCTATAGGGACTGGTGGCTCAGCTTCCCCAGTCACCTGAGCTAGAAGCTCTAGGTACATCCTTTTGTGGGCTGTATGTACAGTCTTTTTTTAAAAAATAATATTTTATTGATTTTTTATAGAGAGGGATAGAGAGTTAGAAACATCGATGAGAGAGAATCATCGATCAGCTGCCTCTTGCACACCTCTTACTGGGTATGTGCCTGCAACCCAGGTACATGCCCTTGACCGGAATCGAACCCGGGACCTTTCAGTCCACAGGCCGACACTCTATCCACTGAACCAAACCGGTTTCGGCTGTATGTACAGTCTTATTGTATTTGAGACTTGACTGCTATTGGTATCACTGGGAGGAATTGACCTCCAGGCCAATTGGCTATGAAGACCAGCTGCGACTATAGTGTGAGAGTGGCTGTGCAGGAGACACCCCTATGGAGCAGGACTTGCGTCAGTGGGGCTTTGATGCTCCCTGAGTCTGCCCCTTGAATGTGTCACTTATGGATATGTAGAGTTATAATTTGATATTGTCTGATGCTGTCCACTGAGTGCACTGGCTCTTGGGTTTACAGGGAGGTGCAAAGTCAGCCACTGCCTGGGGCCACCCAGCAGGAGCTTCAGAGATATCTTCAGATTCCTCCTCTTTGTATTGGGTTTGGAAGTGCCTGATGAGGCCCAGCTATGAAGCAATGCAGGCTGGTGTTGGTGTCAGGTCTTAACCTTTTATTGAGAGGTTTGAGGCTCCTGACCCAGTTGCAGCTTGCTTGAGAGACTTTAGCCTAAGCAAGAACAGGCCATTCATATGCAAAAACCACTGCACAGAGGTTGGGTGGAGTTGTAAATTGGATGAGGTGGGGTCTCAGGGAATCACCAGTTGCAGGGCTGACTGGCAAACAAGAATGTTTGCCAGTCAGCCCTGCAACTGAGGAGGTCCCAGCATAGGAACAATGATCCCTGTGAGCACCTCCATCTGAAAGAAAGGCACCCCTGAGTTCCTTCCCAATGCCAGAAAATCTAGTTCCTCATCTTATGTGTCTATATTCACCAGAGCCCCCCCACCCCCACCCCGGTGCTGGAGCTTAGAGGAAGCAAAACCTTGTAAGTTCAGTTGGTGGTACTGACCTTTTAGGAGGAACACTGGGTCTCCAGGAGCCTCTGTGTCACTGAGCCCCAGTCCACACTGATTTTTACAGCATGTAATTCTTACTGTCTGAAGGGACTTCTTCTTTCAGCTCTGGGACCCTGGGCTGGGATCTTATGTGGAGCTGGGACCCCTTGCTCCTTCGGGCAGCCTCCACAAAGATGATCTCCCTCTATATTAAAAAAGTGGCACATGGGTGGCGGACCAGCCTGTGCTGTGCCTCTGCACATCCTACCAGTCTCAGTGTGTTTTCTTCTTCACTTTTCTAGTTGCAGGACTTCTGTTTAGTCAGTTTTCCAGTGGTTCTGGATGATGGTGGTTCTGTATTTTAGTTATAATTTTGATGTGGTTGTGGGAGGTGATAAGTACAGGCATTTACCTATGCTGCCATCTTCTGTTTTTGTTTTTTCAAGAGATCAGTACTTTAGAAGTTCTTAAAATCATATTCAAATATGGCTCTGATATATTAATATATATATATTATGTAATTAATATATATATTATGTATATATATATATTACATAATCTTGAGCAATTTTTTAAGTTCTCTAAGTCTCAATTTCCTCATGGGTAAAAATAGCTGTTACAAATAGCTGTCTTTTTAAAGAGAATGAAACAACATGATGTACTAGAAGTACCTAACACAAAAAAAGATGTCAATAACTCTCTTCCCTTTATTTACTCCTTTCTTTCTCTTTCCTTCCCTCTTCGTATTAACATTAGCAACATGACCTCCTAAAAGTTACTTAACTATTCTAGGATTTCCTTATCTATAAAACAAGTTGGCCAATTATTTAGGCTCCAAGGTCCTTTGATTCTATAATGCTATGATTCAGTGATGTAATAACTTAGTGTGGTTTTTTTATATCATAAAAATCCAACTTACTGAGAAGTAATTTTGAAATGAAGCTTCTCTGGTTAGTATAGTTGCTTATGCTGCTTTGTTTTTTCCAAATGATTTCATCACATAGAACTTGATTTAGAGGTATTTGAGTTAACTCAAGTAGGATAAAAAGATGGCTTATATTTAAATAATATTACAACAATATATACTAAATGTGTCTACTAGTAATCGCCTATTCCAAAGGATTTTTGTCTCTTCCGTTCCTCTATTTAGGTACAATTCAGGACAGCTGGAGGCTAAGTCAACAAATCTAGAAACTCTAAGCTTAATTCACAGAGCATCCAAGGGGCTAATACGATCTATTGAAAATGGTGGAATAGATTCTGTGATGGAATGGGAAGTGGATGAAGTGCTGAACTGGACAAATACGCTGAACTTTGATGAGTAAATACATGTTACTATTTTTGGGGAACAAGGGCAGGCATCATATATTTATTTATAATATTTTCCACTCCCAAATTGAATCTAGGGGGTCACAAACACAATCTCCTCCCCCCAAAATGTGTATGTATTTCTTGTCTAGAAAGAAAAAAAAAGAAATAAGGGAAAAAGATATAAAAGGGATGACCTAAAAATAGACAAAAGAAAATTAGACAGGTGTTCTTTATTGTCAGACTTTATTATTAGGCCTTAGTCTAAATCACATGTGTCAAACACAAGGCCCGCGGGCCAAATCCATCCCGCCAGGCCTTGCAATGTGGCCCGCACCGCGCTGTCATCACTGCACTCCGCTGCGTTTCCATCACAATGACAGTTTATGACTGTTCAGTAAACCATTCGGCCCGCGATTTAGGCTTGATTTTAGATTTTGGCCCCTTCTCTGATTGAGTTCGACACCCTTGGTCTAAATCCACTTTATTTCTTACTTTGGTATTTAGAAACAAGGCTAAGAATATGCAATTAATAATATGAAGAATTTCCTTAATGTATAGTCCCTTATAGTGAATTAAAAAGTTATTCTTTTTCAGTGTCATACTATGGCCCTTGGAAAACTAAATTTTTAGGAATTTTTTTGGTGTGTCATGGGAATTTAAAAATATTTAATATAACTATCAAGGAACTTCAAGTTAAAACTTACTTCAAACCCACTAAGATGGCTATAATAAAAAAAGATAGATAGTAACACATTGTCAAGGAGGTGGAGGAATTAGAACCTTTATATACTGCCAGTGGAAATGTATAATGGTGCAGCCATATTGGAAAATAATCTGGCAGTTTCTCATAATTAGACTGGGACTTGTCATATAATTGAGCAATTGCAGTCCTCAGTATATATGCACCAGAGAAATAAAAACACATGTCCACGTAAAACTTTTATTTAAGTGTTTATAGCAGCATTATTTATGATATAACAAAAAAGTAGAAACAATGCAAATATTCATCAACTGATGAATGGGTAAATAAAATGTGATATATCCATACAATGGAATATTATTCTACAATAAAAAGAAATGCTGATACATGCCACAATATTGATGAGCCTGATAAGTGAAAGAAGCCAATCATAAAAGACCGTGTATTATATGATTCCATCTATAGGAATGTGCAGAATGGGCAAATCCATAGAGACAGAAAGTAGATTAGTGGTTGCCTAGGGGGATCTATAAGAAATGTGCAGAATGGGCAAATCCATAGAGACAGAAAGTAGATTAGTAGTTGTCTAGACTTATGGGGATTGGAAGGTGATAGCTAAGAGGTACATTTTCTTTTTGCAAAAATGAAAATGTTCTGAAATTGACTGAGTATTCTAAAAGCCACTGGGTTATACACTTTAAATGGCTGAGTTTTATGGCATGTGAATTATATCTCAAAAAGATTTAAATATATTGAATATTTACTTAGCTACAATAATGAATGTAAATATTGCATGGATGAAGGGCAGAAAAATTAAAATGAAGATGCTGTGTATAAACATAAGAAAAAGGAAAAGAGGTAAGAAAATGGGATAGAAAAACTCAACATGTCATATAACAAACAGGAAGAAGAGAATTAAAGAATCAGAGAAGAGAATAATGAAAAAAGGAAAGATGACAGAAGAAGTAAAATAAAGATAAAAAAAAATAGGAAAAGAGCTGAAACCGGTTTGGCTCAGCATTAGAGCGTCGGTCGATGGACTGAAAGGTCCCAGGTTCGATTCTGGTCAAGGGCATGTACATTGGTTGCGGGTACATCCCCGGTAGGGGGTGTGCAAGAGGCAGCTGGTTAATGTTTCTCTCTCATCAATGTTTCTAGCTCTCTATCTCTCTCCCTTCCTCTCTGTAAGAAAAATCAATAAAATATATTTTTTTAAAAATAGGAAAAGAATAATAAAAAGAAGATAAGAAGGATATATTAGAAAATAAAAAGGGAAAGATAAGAAGAAATGAAGAACTAATTATTCATAGTAGATAGATGCTCTAAGATATATTGTAATAATAGTAAAAAGATATTGTTATGATTCAATATTTTGTCCAAACTATAATATAGGGATTCTCTACCGACAGCACATCTATGATTTTTGGGACACTGAATTAACAACAATAATGATGCAAGAAATGACATCAAAAGAAAGGAACTGTAATGCTGTACTTTTAAAAATATTTTTTTTATTGATTTCAGAGAGGAAGGGAGAGGAGAGAGAAAGAGAAACATTAATGATGAGAGAGAATTCCCAATTGGCTGCTTTCTACATTGCCCGCACTGTGGATCTAGCTAGCAACCTGGGCATTTGCCCTGACCGGGAATCATACCGTGACCTCCTGGCTCACAGGTCAATGCTCAATCACCAAGCCATGCAGGCTGGACTTTTATAAACTTTTTTGAAAATCAAAGTATATACATTTAATATTATTTTGTATTAGTTTCAGGTGTACAGCATAGTGATTAGACAATCACATACTTTATGTAATGCTATACTTGTACTTTTTCCCCCCCTAAGGGTAAAAGTTGCTGGGTAGAGGATGGGGTTGGGGATTAGGGGGAAGAGTTGTAGGTGAGGTTCATTTTTAATGAGCTTCTGAGGGCAAGATGGAGAATTTTTTCAGGTAAGCTTTTGAAATTCTAATTAGCCTTTCCCTTTTATTGTTGGCTAATTCAAGTAAAGGCCAGAAAGCTTTAGTGAAAGATTACCCCAAAATCTACACCTAATATTCTATATCCCATCACTATTGAAATAAATGAGAATAATGCAGTTGAGTGTGAAGGGAAGAAATGAACAGGCATCTCAGCCACCTGCCATACCCGTCTGGTGAGAGATTACATTTCTAATGGTCTCTTTGTGGAAGAAAGGACAGAAACATTAAACCAGTAAGACTTGAAGTGGTTTTTTGTATCATATACTGTATGTTAAATGAGATTAATACAACTTGCTTTGACATGATAAGACTAACAGAAAACTTTTTTCTTTTTAATGCAGATACTTCATGCTCCAAATTATTTATAATTTCTAGCAGTTTATTCTCTCACTTAGGCACAATCATAATTTGGAATCAACTTTGAATTCTTAGAAAGCAAGTTTTTCTACTGAGCCCTGAACAACAAATATTTCAAATAGAATCCAGTGTGATAATTTGGGATTATTTCAGTAGCCTTACTAATCCCACGCTGCTGACTATGAGGCAAACACCAAATTGTGCAGAGGTCTTCCCCCCGCTGACTGCAGACATTAGGTATAAGCCAGCACCTTCTTCCCAGTGCATTATGGTCTCCACAATCTACTTTCCTGTTAGATCTTTGTAGTCATCTAGATGTTCCTAACTCACCTTGTTTGATGAGATTTCAGAGTCTGACATTTTTCTTCAGAGAATTGGTAGCCACTAATTCCTTGGAGAGTATCCTTCAAAATCTGTGGACAGTTTTCAGTTGTCAGACAATTAGAATGACAAAAAATGTGTTAAATGCTGATATTGAGTGATACAAACCAGGTTCTTCCCCAGAGACTTTTGTGCTAGCCCCTTGTCAGGACCGATGGCCATCTGCATCTTCAGATACTCATTGCAACAATATCAACTGACCACAATATTATTGTAATTTGGAAGAATGCATAGAACCAGCTTCACTCTTGTACTCACTGGGCACTGATGAGTATTGTTGCAAATTCTGCGGTATCTAGAGCTGAGTTGCTGCAGTCACTTAGAATGTAAAGCAGCACATCACCGTCACTGAGCCACCCACAATGCCGCATGGTGGCTAATATTCTTGTTGGATTTTTAGGGGCATATTCTCTATCTACCAAATGGTCCACTTCCAGGATCTTCATAATTTTTAAATAGCATATGAATTTTGAACTAACCTGCTAAATTATTAATCAGCAGTTGGAGTATCTTAAATAATTTCCTGATAATCTATTAACAGTGTTGGCGAGGGATCTTTGCTATGTGTGTGAGAGATAGTTTTTATATCTGAACTTCAATTTCTAGGACAAGTAATTATGTGGCTTCTCTGGCTAGGGACTTCCCAGGCCACTAAAATGTTAACTTTGCATCCTTGAGAAATTCATTATAGATTCCACATGTAGAATAGTAATTATTCTACAATTACTATCTTAAAAATGTATTAGTGAGAAAAACAAATTAGCACTATGATATAAGCAATATGGTAATGCTATCACCAGTCTGTTGCTTCTATTTATAAAACTTAGATTTTTCTTATCATTGTTTTTATCAGTTACACATGTTCCTTATGAGAAGTTCTTTTTAAATAATTGTCCTAATATCAGGTAAATGTGGGCTAGTGGTCAGCCTTAGTTAAATAGGGCATATGTTTGTAACCAAGATTGCCAGGTGTCCTTGAAGGTAGAATAAAAAAATTTCAGAATATAAATCCAAGGAAGCAGGGCGATAGACACCCAGCTCTTCATAGTGATCCTAAACGCCTGCTGAAAGTCTGCCTAAATGTAAGGTCAATCCAGATTGAACTGTCTGCTAAGAGGTCCTGGGAAAGGGTTCTTGCATTTTTTTATATAACAGTGACCCAGCAGTATCCCATTTAAGGCCATAGAATAAAGTTCTTGGAGCAAGAAGAGGTAGGAGTAACAAAAGGAGCTGATTTTAGAGACAGGATTTAGAATACTTAAATGTTCTTGGATAACATATACCTTCCTAAAGCAAAAAACTTCAGGAACACAAAGCTAATAAGAGTAATTCAGTGGAATAAATGAAAACTTGGAAAATCATTTTTTACATGACAATTCTAATCCTCCTCATACATTCTCTGCCAGCTCGCTTTCAGTACCTCGTGAGACCAGTTTCTTTCTTTCTTTCTTTCTTTCTTTCTTTCTTTCTTTCTTTCTTTCTTTCTTTCTTTTTAAATTAAGGTATTATATATGTACATATTTTGAGGACCAGTTTCTTACCTGATTTCTGAGGTGCAGTTGGAAGAAAAGGGGTACAGAGCCTAAAATGAAATGGAAAAGTTGCAGAAAATCTGCCTTTCGGAGTATTCCTCATCAGACCTTGCCCTTCCCTGTTTGACATCTTCTCAAGCTACCCTGGTTTCCCTATTTCATTCTGTTTAGGGAACTAAGGTGGCAGCTTCATGTGCCCTATGTGAACGTGACCTCTTATGTTTACAGCACACTGTAGAGAGTGCATGTTGCTCTACTAACATCATAAACCACATGCACTAAATTTCTTTTAACATGTCAGAGACAGTAGGTGTAGCAATCCAGAACCAAGGACAAAGATCTTTGTTTTTGTTGTTTCCTCTTTTTCCCTCCCAGAGAATTTTCTATCTATACTTTTAATTTAGAAGTTAACTAACATCTTAGTAGGTATTCAACTGAAGACATGATCTCAAAGGAATGGAATAGGATAAGATGAGGAGAGGTGTGCTGAGAGGGACCCAAGGCACAAGCATGGTAGATAGTGGGTACCATTTTTAAACCTCCTCCAACTCTCCATCCTAGAGTTTGTCTTGGGTGCATGAGAGCTACTTGGAGGTGAGAAAATCATAAAGATGAAACATTTAGTCTAGTGAATTTGTTGTCATGATTTCACAAAGAAAGTGGAATTATAGAAGCCTAAGCGTGAACTGATAAGTCAATTACTTCCTAATAAACCAATTTATAATGTGCTTAGGTACGTTGCCAACTGGAAGGAAATGGCTACAAGCGACTCTTCAGTTAACTTCAAAAGTAGGTGATTTTTAGCAATACTTTATGGGAAATTCTTCCGAACAAAAATGATACATTTCACACATGTACACATTTCTTAGCACCTAACATTTCCACACAATATATTGACATAAATAAATTTGCCAAGTAATTATTATCTTATAGTAAGACTGTTAATTGGAAATAGAAGGAAATATTTTAATTTTATATAGGGTTAAAATTTTTTCCAGTTTGAAACCATACTTCATTTTCAATGTAGCTAGAAATATCCATTAGCTATATATTTTTAAGCAGAAAAGAACTCCTTTACTTTTCCTTCTTAAAGCATTATTAGCACAAAAAATAACCTTTCTATTTATAAATGATACTGAGTTTCTATGAAAATGAATGTATTTTTATTTGTGTAAATTAAAAATTTTAAAGCACAGAATACATTTTTAGAAAAACAATTTTACTACTTTTACGCATTTATCATTAACAGTTGAAATGTTAGAATGTAGTTAGGTAATGTATAGTTAAGTAAATCAAATCAAATAAGGAATTCAAAAGCAACTGGTCTTGAGTTATTCATGAATCTTTTTTTAAAGTTGCATACTTCATGGTTTCAATAATAATTTTTAATGAGCAAAATTCACTTGGCTAAATAAATGCCTTAAAATATAAGAAATAATGTTTAGGTTCTATGCCATTCTTGTCTCTCAGTGGTCCACAACACAGAGCAACTACAGTAAAAGTGATAGCATTTTGAAGAAGCATAGCATCATAACCCAGAAATATCAACAACCTAACATATACAAGTCTAATCACTGTTATTGAATATTCTGAACATATGAGTTCTCTCCTGCTGTCATCTGTGGGAAGCGGTAAAGCAGAAAAGTTACAATTGTGGAGAGTTAGTTCAGACTGCCTGGTGTTGATTTTTGGCTCTACTGCTTACTGGCTGTGTGATTTTGGGCAAGTTACTAGTTCAGTTTCCTCTTCTGTAAAATTAAATTAACAGTAGTACAAGGCTTATAGGTAGCAGTGAAGTACTAAGGAAAAACATGTAAAGAACTTAGACTAGTGCCTGGTACATAATTCATACTGTATAATTAGCTTTAACCTATCCACTCGTGTCTGGCTCATTGCTACCACCACACAACAGTTCAGGTTGCTATCATCACTCTGCAGGCTTATATGACAGCCTTCAAACCGATTACCCCCTCCTCACCACCAGTCCATTCCCCACACAGCAGTGTCTTTCACAATGTAAACCAACCCAACTAGAACACACACTTCTTTAGCAATTACCACATGGGAGTACTATCGATAAAAGTGTTTGATCTTCAATCCATCTCTTTGCTTGCTCATTTTACAGATGAGCAAGCAAAGAGATGATATACTTGCTCAAGATCTCACAGTAAGAACCTGTGAAGACTACCAGCTCCAGAACCCATGTTCTTTTTTTTTTAATTATCATCTTTCTCTTTTATTTTATTTTATTTTAATATATTTTATTGATATTTTATAGAGAGGAAGAAGGGAGAGAGATAGCTAGAAATGTTGATGAGAGAGAAACATCGACCAGCTGCCTCTTGCACACCCCCCACCGGGGATGTGCCTGCAACCAATGCACATGCCCTTGACTGGAGTCGAACCTGGGACCTTTCAGTCTGCAGACTGACGCTCCACCACTGAGCCGAACCGGTTTCGGCCAGAACCCATGTTTCTAACCAGGACTACCTCTGCTGCCTCTCATAGCTTTCCCTGCACTTGGAACTAAGTCTTGACTTTAGGATCACACTGGCTCTGGCTTAGCTTTCCACTCTTATCATGTCCTGCTCTCCCCCTCACTCACAACCCCACCATCACTGGCCTCTTTCCTGTTCCTCAAACACTCTGTGGTTTCCACTTTGGGGGTTTAATGAACAGTTTTAGGGAACTATCTTCACTTAAGGGCAAGGAGTTGTCCTGTTTGCTACTGAATCCCTAGTGTGTGTAGCACACAGTAAGTTTTCAATGACAAATCAAAGAACATAAAGGAATGACAAGTACAAAAATAGGAGCATCCTATTATATTATAATAAAGAGGTAACATGCAAATTGGCTATCATGCCCTCACAAGATAGCTGCCTATGACCAGGCCACCAGAGGGGTTAGTGAGGTATGATCAAATGACTGAGCAAGTAGGCTGTGTGGGGCAATCAAGTGGGTGGGGGGGAGGGCAGTTGGGAGCAACCAGGCTGGCAGAGGGGGCAGTTGGGAGTGACCTGGCCAGCAATGGGAGGAAGTTAGGGGTGACCAGGCTGGCAGGTAGGTGAGCAATTAGGAGCCAGCAGTCCAGGATTGTGAGGGATTTTCAACTGCCAGGGATCAGGCCTAAAATGGTAGTTGAACATCCCCCAAGGTATCCCGGATTGGAAAAGGTGCAGGCTGAGCTGAATGGACCCCTCCCCCATGAAAGAATTTTGTGCATTGGGCCTCTAGTAGAATATAAAATACTGAGTTAAAAGAGATTACAGCCCTAGCTGGTTTGGTTCAGTGAATAGAACATTGGCCTGTGGACTAAAGGGTCCTGGATTTGATTCCAGTAAAGGACACATGCCTGGGTTGCCAACTTGATCCCCAGTATGAGGTGTGCAGGAGGCAGCCAATCAATGATTCTTTCTCATCATTGATGTTTCTATATCTCTCTCTCTCCAAAATATATTTTAAAAAGAGAAATTATAGGCATACCTTGGAAATATGGTGGGTTCAATTTCAGACCACTTCAATAATGCAAGTAGTGCAATAAAGTGAATCATAATCTTTTTGCTGGTGGAGGGTCTTGCCTTCCATTTGTTAAAAAAAAAAAAAAGGCAGCATCTACAGCCCTGGCACCACGCGAACAGCAGTGAGCCCTGGGACACCAGTCCCCATGTGGCACAAACACACAGACTCAGGGGAGCTCTGTGTCTCCTCCCTGAAAACTCCTGGATTCCCAGTCTTGATTGAGAAGCTCTCCCCAACTCCAAAATGAAGCAACTCGATATATCTGTAGTGGGATGAGGGGGACAGGCATCTAGACTTTGAGATAGAATATTTATATTTGAGTGTTAGACCTATCACTGTGTCTTGCATTATCTAATCCTTCAGTTATTTACTTTATAAGAGGAAAAAATAATACATATTTTAAAGGACAAAATAGGGGAAGACCACACCATCCTGAAGGGGAGAGTGGATGCTATCAGAAGCCTGAAAAGCCCAGGGAATCTACAACTATGGCACCCACCAAACAGATGTGAACCCGAGAACACCGGTCCCCAAATGGCACAAGCACGCAGATTCAGAGGAGCTCTACACTTCTTCATGGAAAGCAGAGTGAGAACTACATAACCAGACATCCAGAGAAGAGAGATCATGGAGAAGACAAAGAAATAGCCCGTATATGAAAGAAAAGCAGGCATCACCAGAAAAGGAAGTAAACAAAATGGAGGCAAACAACCTGTCAGAGAAAGAATTCAGAGAAATGGTTATAACGTGGATGAAAAGAATGGAAGACAAATTCGACAATATGTGTAAGAACCAAGAGGAAATGAAGAAGAACCAAGAAGAAATGAAAAATGACATTGCTGCTGTAAAAAAAAAAAAACAAAACAAAAAAAACTCAATAGAAAGCATCAACAGTAGACTAGAAGAAGCAGAGGACTGCATCAGTGAGCTAGAAGACAAGGTAGGAAAAAATACCCAAGTAGAGCAGCTTCTAGAAAAAAAAATTAAAAAGCAGGAGAGCATAAGGGAACTTTGGGACAATACAAAACAAAACAACATCTGCATAATAGGGCACCCAGAAGGAGAGGAAATTGAGCAAGGAATAGAAAACCTGTTTGAAGAAATAATGACAGAAAACTTCCTTGATAATAGGGAAGGAAAAACCCACATAAATCCAAGGAGCTCACAGATTCCCAAGCAAAATGAACTCCAAGGCACCTTATAATCAAATTGGCAAACACCAACAACAAAGTAAGAATCTTAAAAGTGGCCAAAGAGAGACAGAAAATTACCTACAAAGGATCCCATATCAGACTAGCAACTGATTTATCAACAGAAACACATCAGGCCAGAAGGGAATGGAATGAAATATACAAAGTCATGCAAAGGAAAGGTCTGAATTCAAGAATACTATACCCAGCAAGGCTATCAATCAAAATTGAGGGTGAAATCAAGAGCTTCACAGACAAAAAGGACTAAGGGAGTTTATTACCACAAAACCAGCAATGCAAGAAATGCTGAAGGGTCTGTTGTAAAACAAAAAAAAGAAAATAAAAAAGAAAAAGAAATAGGAAGTGAAGAAGGAACATGGGTAAAAAATAAAAATGGCAACAAACAAGTACCTATCAATAATAACTTTAAATGTAAATGAATTAAATGCCCCAATCAAAAGACATAGGGTAACAGATTGGATAAGAAAACAAGACCCATATATCTTCTGTCTACAAGAAACCCACCTCAGAAAAAAAGATACACACAGACTGAGTGTAAAAGGATGGAAAAAAGGTTTTTCAGGCAAATGGAAATGAAAAATAAAGCTGGGGTAGCAATACTTATATCTGACAAATTAGATCTCAAAGTGAAGGACATAAAAAGAGATAAGGAAAGCCACTTCATAATACTAAAAGGAGCAATCCAACAAGAAGAAATAACTCTGGTAAACAAACACACCCAATACAGGAGCACCCAAATACACAAACTCCTGGAGGATAGCAAGGGAGAGATTGACAGCAATACAATGATAATAGGAGACTTTAATAACCCACTATCACCATTGGACAAATCCTCTAAACAAAAATCAGCAAAGAAACATCAATCCTAAATGACTCTCTAGACCAGATGGAATTAATTGACATCATCAGAACATTTCATCCCAATGAATATACATTCTTCTCAAGTGCACATGGGTCATTGGGGTCACAAGCAAAGACTCTTAATATTCAAGAAGATAGAAATCATATCAAGCATCTTCTCAGTTCACCATGGCATAAAGCTGGCAATCAAGTCAATAAAAACAACCCCAAAAAATCAAACACATGGAGACTAAATAGCATGCTATTAAACAATGACTCGGTTATCAGAGAGATCAAAGAAAAAAATAAATATCATGGCAACAAACGACAATGAAAACACAACAATCCAAAATCTATGGGACACAGCAAAAGCAGTTTTGAGAGGGAAGTTCATAGCTCTACAAGCTTACTGAAAACATGGTCAAAAGTCACTAATTATCCAAGAGATGCAAAAATCAAAACGACAATGTGGTACCAATTGAATGGCTATCAGAATGGCTATCAACAAATAAACAAATGACAAATGGTGGTGAGGATGCCGAGAAAAAGGAACCCTCATGCACTGCTGGTTGGAAAGCAGACTGGTGCAGCCACTGTGGAGAACAGTATGGAGTTTCCTCAAAAAACTAAAAATGGAAGTCCCATTTGATCCAGTAATTCCACTTCTAGGAATATACCGTATTTTTCGGACCATAAGACGCTCCGGACCATAAGACGCACCAGTTTTTAGAGAAGGGAAATGAAGAAAAAAAGATTCTGAAACAAATAGTGTCCTAAAATATTTTATGTGCATTAAAACCCAACATCACAGTCATAAACACATGTAATCAACGTAAAATAAACAGCAGCATTTAGAACCATTTTAGAGCCCGGCAAGCACACAGAGACCACACAGAGCCGGGCAAGTAAAAAAACTTTTTTTTTTTAAAGTATATGTGTAGGCTATATTTGGACCATAAGACACAGGGACTTTTTCCCCCCACTTCTGGGGGGAAAAAAAAAGTGTGTCTTATGGTCCGAAAAATACAGTATCTTAAGAAACTAGAAACACCAATCATAAAGAATATATGCACCCCTATGTTTATAGCAGCACAATTTATCATAGCTATGATTTGAAACAGCCTAAATGCCCATCAGCAGATGAGGGGATTAGAAAACTGTGTTACATCTACACAATGGAATACTACGCTGCTATAAAAAGAAGGAATTCTTACCATTTGCAGCAGCATGGATGGATCTGGAGAGCATTATGTTAAGTGAAATAAGCCAGGCAATGAAAGAAAAGTACCACATGATCCCACTCATTTATGGAAAATAAAGAACATTATAACCTGATGAACAAAAATATAGATACAGAGGCAGTAAAGCGCCCAACAGAATGTCAAATTACAGCAGGAAGGCTGGGGAGTGTTGGGGTGGGAGTGAAAGAGATCAACCAAAGGACTTGCATGCATGCCTATAAGCACAACCAATGGACACAAGACACTGGGGGGAGGGGAGCAGGGAGAGGGCATGCAAAGGGGTAGAGGAAGCTGGGGGAAGGTCAAGGGGGGGGAGATATATATACTACTATATGTAATACTTTAAACAATAAACAAAAAATAAATAACTAGCAGTATCTGTGAAGCATAATAAAGTGAAGCGCCGCAAAACTAGGCCTGCCTGTACCAACGGCAGAAAGATGGTAAGATATAGCATGATGATTGGAAGGAGCACAAGAGCAAGTGAAATTTATTTTAAGAAGCAGAGGTTTGCATTATAGCTGAAGTCAGTAGAAGGGGAGACATTGGGGATGTTGGCACTGGAGAAGAAGAGAGAGTGTGTGCCACTTCTTCAAGAGAACAAGGTAATCTAATCCTGATATTTGGAAACTAGCTCAAGAGAGAGAAAAGGCTTCTGTTCATTTGTGAATAAAAAACTGTTAACTAATAGTGAATTATGGGGCACTAACTAAATGCCACGCTGAATGCTAAGTCCTTTACGTGCACATTACACTCAACTCTCACAAAAATGATTAGGCATGTGCTATTGTTAGCCTCATTTTATAGATGAGGACACTGGGACTTAGGTTAAATAACTTGTCACAAATTGCACAGCTAATTAGTAATAAGTCAAACTCAAACCCAAGTCCTTCAGAGCCTTTTGTAGAGGTAGAAAATGAAATATAGTAGGGAACAGTAGGATGAACTAAAAAATTGGGGACATTTATGGCTTCAGTTAAATAGGATATACTAGTAAAGATAGGTGCTCTAACAGTGGTGAAAGGAATGTGGAATGGACCTTAGCCTGGTATATTGAATGAGTCTATATCTTATCACATCAGGCACCTTTCTAAATATTTGTCATTCCTCTCTCTCTAGGTTCCAAGTTTGAACGAGAACCGAAAAATATATATGATTATGCAGCAATGTCAGAGGGCATGGGAACATCAGATAATGCTTATGAAGTTGAAAATACTGATGAAGAACCAAATTTTACTAGATTAACACCTAGTTCCCTTTATGAAACATAAATGTATTCTTTTCTTTTTTGAGCTATAGCCCTTCCCACACTGATTACTTTAGCTACAGTTACTAGTAAGAGGTTATTCTGACTAGAATGACATATTCTTGGCACAGAATCTACCCAATTAAGGAAGAGTAAATAGAAAAAGAACATGGGACTGGGTAGAAAATACAGAAATTATTTTTGGTACTCTGAAAACTGTAATATTCTATCACACTTAAATATACTTAGGTGCGAAAATCTTCAGCTTCTTTTTCTTCCTTTTTGAAGCATCTTTTATTTGAGCGATCACATGAGGCAGAATTCTTTTCCCGTTAAAAAAGAGGGGGGAGCCGAAACCGGTTTGGCTCAGTGGATAGAGCGTCTGCCTGCGAACGAAAGGTCCCAGGTTCTATTCTGGTCAAGGGCATGTACGTCGGTTGTGGGCACATCTCTCTCATCAATGTTTTTCTCTATCCCTCTCTCTTCCTCTCTGTGAAAAATCAATTTTATATACATATATATATATATATATATATATATATATATATATATAATATATATAAAAAAGAGGGGAGAATGGGGAGATAGTATAACACATTCTTTTTTTTTTTTTGACATATGATGATGAGTTTTTTATTTATTTATTTTTTAGATATTTTATTGATTTTTTTTGGCCCCCTCCCTCCCTCCCACACATCCCTTCCCTCCCCAGAGTTTTATGTCCATTGGTTGTACTTATATGCATGTATACAAGTCCTTCGGTTGATGTATTATCTCCCCCAGATCCTTCTCCCCTCCCCGCTGAAATTTGACAATCTGCTTGTTGCTTTACTGTCTCTATATCTATCTTTTGGTTCATCAGTTTATAATGATCTTTATTATCCACAAATGAGTGAGGTCATGTGGTGTTTCTCTTTCATTGAATGGCTTATTTCGCTCAGCATGATGTTCTCCAATTCCATCCAGGTTGCTGCAAATGATGAGAATTTCTTCTTTTTTATGGCAGCATAGTATTCCATTGTGTAGATGTACCACAGTTTTTGGATCCAATCATCTGTTGACGGGCACCTAGGCTGTTTCCAAATTCTGGCTATTGTAGATTGTGCTGCTATGAACATAGGGGTGCATATGTCCTTTCTGATTGGTGTTTCTAGTTTCTTGGGATATATTCCTAGGAGTGGGATTACTGGATCAAATGGGAGTTCCATTTTCAGTTTTTTGAGGAAATTCCACACTGTTCTCCACAGTGGTTGCACCAGTCTGCATTCCCACCAGCAGTGCGGTTTCTCCGCAACCTCGCCAACACTTGTCGTTTGTTGATTTGTTGATGTTGGCCATTCTGACAGGTGTGAGATGGTACCGCATTGTTGTTTTGATTTGCATCTCTCGGATAATTAGTGACTTTGAGCATGTTTTCATGTGGCTTTTGGCCTTCCTTCTGTCTTCTTTTGAAAATATTCTATTTAGGTCCATTGCCCATTTCTTAATTGGATCATTCACCTTCCTTTTATTTAGTTGTATCAGCTGTCTGTAGATGTTGGAGATTAAACCTTTATCAGTGGTGTTATTTGCAAATATTTTCTCCCACACCGTGGGCTTTCTTGTTGTTTTGTTGATGGTTTCTTTTGCTGTAAAAAAGCTTTTTATTTTGATGTAGTCCCATTTGTTTATTTTCTCTTAAGCTTCCATTGCCCCAGGGGCAGTATCAGTGAAGAAGTTCTTTTGGCATACATCTGAGATTTTGCTGCCTGTGGCTGCTTCTAGTATTTTTATGGTTTCCCGTCTGATGTTTAAGTCCTGTATCCATTTTGAGTTTATTTTTGTGTATGGTGTAAGTTGGTGATCTAGTTTCATTCTTTTGCATGTCTGCCCAATTTTCCCAACACCATTTATTGAAGAAACTGTCTTGACTCCATTGTATATTCGTGCCTCCTTTGTCAAATATTAATTGAGCATAGTGATTTGGGTTGATATCTGGGTTCTCAATTCTATTCCATTGATCTATATGTCTGTTCTTGTGCCAGTATCAGGCTGTTTTGAGAACAGTGGCTTTGTAATACAGTTTGAAGTCTGGTATTGAGATCCCTCCTACTTTACCCTTCTTTCTCAGGATTGCTGTGGCTATTCGGGGTCTTTTATTGTTCCAAATGAACTTTTGGAGAGTTCTTTCTAGGTCAGTGAAATATGCCGTTGGTATTTTAATGGGGAGTGCATTGAACCTATAGATTGCTTTAGGAAGTATGGACATTTTGATGATGTTGATTCTACCAATCCATGAACATGGTATGTTCTTCCATCTCCTTACATCTTCCTCTATCTCTTTTTTCAGTGTCGTGTAGTTTTCTGCATATAGGTCCTTTACTTCCTTAGTTAAATTTATTCCTAGGTATCTTAATTTTTTTGGTGCGATGGTAAATGGAATTGCTTTTTTAGTCTCTGTTTCTGTAGTTTCACTGTTGGTGTATAGAAATGCCATGGATTTCTTGGCGTTAATTTTGTATCCTGCTACATTGCCAAATTCATTTACTAAGTCAATTAGTTTTTTAATGGAGTCTTTTGGGTTTTTTATGTACAATATCATGTCATCTGCAAATAAGGATAACTTTACTTCTTCTTTTCCAATTTGGATGCCTTTTATTTCCTCCTCTTGTCTAATTGCAATGGCTAGTACTTCCAGTACTATGTCAAACAGGAGTGGCGAGAGTGGGCATCCCTGTCTTGTTCCTGTTCTTAGAGGGAATGGTTTTAGTTTTTGCCCATTGAGTATAATGTTGGCTGTGGGTTTATCATATATGACTTTTATTATGTTGAGGTATGATCCTTGTACTCCCACCTTGTTAAGAGTTTTTATCAGGAAAGGGTGTTGGATTTTATCAAATGCTTTTTCTGCATCAATTGATATGACTATATGATTTTTATCTTTCAATTTGTTTATGTGATGTATCATATTTATTGATTTGCAGATATTGTACCATCCTTGCATTCCTGGAATAAATCCTACTTGGTCATGGTGTATGATCTTTGTGATGTTCTTCTGGAGTCGATTTGCTAGAATTTTGTTGAGGATTTTGGCATCTATGTTCATGAGGGATATTGGCCTGTAATTCTCTTTCATTGAGTTGTCTTTATCTGGTTTTGGTATTAGGATGATGCTGGCTTCATAGAAGGAGTTTGGAAGTGTTCCTTCCTCTTGGATTTTTTGGAATAGTTTGAGGACGATAGGTTTTAGTTCTTCCTTGAATGTTTGGTAAAACTCTCCTGTGAAGCCATCTGGCCCTGGGCTTTTGTTTGCTGGAAGCTTTTTGATGACTGTTTCAATTTCTTCCCAAGACACTGGTCTTTTGAGATTTTTAGATTCTTCCTGATTGAGTTTTGGAAGTTTGTATTTTTCTAGGAATATGTCCATTTTCTCCAGATTGTTCAGTTTGTTGGAATAGAGTTGTTCGTACTATTTTGTAACAATCCGTTGTATTTTGGTGGGGTCTGTTGTTATTTCACCTCTTTCATTTCTGATTTTGTTTATTTGGGTCCTCTCTGTTTGTTTCTTGGTTAGCCTGGCTAGAGGTCCATCTATCTTGTTTATTCTTTCAAAGAACCAGCTCTTGGTTTTGTTGATCTTATGTATTGTTTTTTTGGTCTCTATGTTGTTTATCTCTGCTCTGATTTTTGTTATTTCCTTCCTTCTGCTTACACTGGGCTTTTCTTGTTGCTCCTTTTCTAACTCTTTGAGTTGTAGAGTTAGATCATCTGTTACCATTTTTTCTAGTTTTTTGCAACAGGCTTGTAAGGATATGAACTTCCCTCTCAAAACTGCTTTTGCTGTGTCCCATAGATTTTGGATTGTTGTGTTTTCATTGTCATTTGTTTCCAGGATGTTTTTAATTTCTTCCTTGATTTCTCTGGTAACCCAGTCCTTGTTTAATAGCAAGCTGTTTAGTCTCCATGTGTTTGATTTCTTTGGATTATTTTTATTGTAGTTAATTTCCAGTTTTATGCCATTATGGTCTGAGAAGATATTTGATATGATTTCTATCTTCTTGAATTTGAAGAGACTTTGCCTATGTCCCAAAATGTGGTCTATCTTTGAGAATGTTCCAAGCACATTCTCTTTTTATCAGGAAAGCAAAAGGCTTACTAAAAGCCCCAGCCCTAGTCACCTTAGACATCCTTGAACAAAACGGGATCACTGGGCACCCTTAGCTGAAGAAACTGGAAAAGCAAGAATCTGTCTTTTGGCTTTCACATTGGGAGGAGTAGAGGAGATGACTGTTGAGTCAAGAAAGAATCCATCACACTCTCCAGTCTAAGCATCCTCTACTGCTACTCGCCATCACACTTATCACACCATATCTTTAAAAATCTGTCTACAGTCCTAAAGACCAGAGGTTTGTACCCCGGACTATACAAAAAATAATTAGACCTGGCCCATGTTACTCAGTGGTTAGAGCATTGACCTGATCATCAAAGTGTCTTGGGTTTTCTTCCTGTCAAGGGCACATACCTAGGTTGCTGGTTGAATCCCCCCGAGGGTTGGGGTGCCTGCAGGAGGCAATCAATTAATCAATCAATCAATGTGTCTCTCTCACATCCACGTTTCTCTCTCTCTCTCTCTCTCTCTCTCTCTCTCTCTCTCTCTCTCCCCCTCCCTTCCTCCCTCCCTCCCTCCCTCTCTCCCTCCTCCTTTCCTCCCTCCCGCCCTCAATTCCCTCCCTTCCACTCTCTAAAAAGCAATGCAAAAAATATCCTTGGATGAGAGTTAACCAAAAAATACCCCCCCCCCACACACACACATATACACACAAATCAGCATTAACAGACCTATTGTGTATTTAAGAAAAACAGATTGAGATATAATTTACATGTAAATTCACCCATTTGAGTGTTGAGTTTTGACAAATGTAATTTTCACAACAATTAAGACATAAAGCATTTCCATCACCCCCAAATTGTGCATCTTTTCACAGTCAATCCACTCATTCCACCCCAAGCTCTGGAATCTCTGATCTTTTTTCAATCTCTACAGTTCTACCACTTCTAGGATGTCATATAAATGGAATTATACTACATTAGCCTTTTTTGGTCCAGTTTCTTCCATTTAGGATAATGCTTTTGAGTCTCTCTGTTCATATATCCACTCACCAGTTGTGGACATCTGGTTGTTTCCAGTTTGGGATCATAATGAATACAAGTGCTATGTACATTCATGTCCTCTTCTTTATGGGGGTATGTTTTTATTTCTCCTGGGAAATACCTGGGAGTGGAATTGCTAAGGTAAGCAATCTATATATATATATATATATATATATATATATATATATATATATATATATATAT